GTTTCCGGCCGGGGTGCCCTCGCTGGGGCATCACAGTGCAGCTAAGGTGGCATCTGAGAATCGAGCTTTGGACTTTGCGTGCAGTCTTGCCCAGTTGCTCCTTGACCTCAGGGTGCCCTTTTGGTTTTCGGGGCCGGCTTCCTCTTACATGTGGATTTATCCTCCTGTCGTTGAAGTCCTCGGTCGCCTCCCGTCAAACTCCTCCTGGACTTTTGACCGTTGCCGTTTTTCAGAGCCATGGCTAAAGCGCACCCGCGTCGTGGTTACCTCTGAGCTGGCAGGAGTCGAGAAGCTTTGCTTGGGCGGCCACAGCCACGTTCGTCTTCGAGGCAGGACTGGTGCTGTGGGACCTGACTGGGCAAAAGCTGCGAGTTCCTGGCCGCGTGGAGCTGCTTGTGAACTCGCACAGAGTCTGGTCGCAGAAGTCGAAAAACGTTTTCAGGGAGGCACCTCGACCGCTTTTGTGGGGCACCTGCGAGTCGGCGAAGCAGAAAATCCTGGACCGCCGAAGAGGGCCCCACGCCACGGGTCTCTTTTCGATGTTGAGCTTGTTGGCGCTTCTACGCTGCGTGTCAGGGAGCAGATCTGGACAGTTTTCGTTTCTTGGCTGCGTGAGGGGCTATCTGAGGGTGCCGTTCTTGGCATCTTCAGATGCCCCCCCTTGTTGTCGCTGATGCTCAGAGATTACGGCGATGTTCTTTACAAGACTGGCTTTCCTCTGGGCTCGTACAGACAGCTGCTGGCTCACGCCCAAAAGTTGGTGCCACTTGTGAAGCCGCACATGGGTGTCGCCTGGAATATGGTCACACGTTGGCAGGAGCTTCAACCGGTGTGTCATAGGACACCTTTGCCGGAAGCGATCCTTCGAGCCATGGTCGGGCTAGCGTACGCCAACGGGTGGAAAGTCTGGGCGGCCACTACACTGGCAATGTTCTACTTCANNCAGGCGAAGTTCTTCGAGGCCTCCGAAAAGACCTTCTGACCCCAGGAGACACCTTGGAGCCGCGGCACAAGTGGCTGTATCTGCGTATCCGCGCCCCTAAGACTAGGCGCCGTGGAGCAAAGATCCAACACGCGAAGCTTGACGATGCCGTCGCCCTCGAGGTCGCTCTTGCGGTGTGGGAGAAACTACCTCGTGGGCGAGCTCTGTATCCTGGAAGTCCTTCAGCTTATAGGCGCCGTTGGGACGTTTTGCTACGGTCATTGGCTATCCCGGCGACAGCTTCTTTGACTCCAGCTTGCGTCCGCGCCGGAGGCGCTATATGCGCTTTTCAGCGCGGCACCCCCGTGGCCGACCTTATGTGGCGAATGCGGTTGAGATCACAGGTGACCTTAGAGCACTACCTGCAGGAGATGACAGGGTATTCTGTGATCCCGTCTTTGCCCTACGAGACTCGCCGAAGGATCGAGGTTGCGAACTGTTTCTTCCGTGCCGTTGAGGAGAGGGCCATCTACTACAGGGCGGCGCGCCTTGCGGCCTCTAGTGGTGTGGAGGCTGCCGCTCGAGCCTAAACTAGGCCGAGCAGGCTTTTCTTACCTCCAACCTAAAACCTTGGCAGCCGGAGGCAAAAAGAGAAGTCAAAGCGA